TGTCATTGTTGTTACTATATTTATCTATTTTCCGTATCCACATACTTCTTTACTTAATGTGTTCACTTCACTGATCCTCGGGTTGATCCAGTGGTATTGTTTGCATCAGTGATCATTTACAGATATCTGCAAATAACATGAATGGAGAACAAACAAAAAAATCAATCAGGGGCCGGGTGCAGTGGCTCACACCTGTAATCCCAGCACTTTGGGAGGCCAAGGTGGGCGAATCACCTGAGGTCAGGAGTTCAAGACCAGCCTGGCCAACATGGTGAAACCCCGTCTCTACCAAAAATACAAAAATTAGCTGGGCTAATTTGCCACGTGGTGGCAGGCGCATGTAATCCCAGCTACTCAGGAAGCTGAGGCAGAAGAATAGCTTGAGCCCAGGAGGCAGAGGTTGCAGTAAGTTGAGATTGCGCCACTGCACTCCAGCCTGGGCACCAGAGTGAGACTCCATCTCAAGAAAAAAAAAAAAAAGAAAGAAAAGAAAAGAAAAAAAAATCAATCAAGGAGTGAAAAACACAGGTCTGTAGACAAGCTAGTATACATAGGCTGTTCCTGTTTCTACCTCTTCTTGGGCCTTAGCCTCCTGTGGGACCCTTGTCTTTCTTGGGCCCCTCACCTTCAGTAGCCTCTTGGCATTCTCACCCATTTCTCTGTGCCCAGTAAAATGACATCCAGTCTGAAAATAGGAATTTTCTATCCCCATCTAAAGTTCACTTGCAAGGTGGTTTCAGCCATTGCCCTGAGATGAGAAAGAAGAAGGAAGCATTGGTATGTGTATCATTAATGAACAAGGATTTTACAGGCACTGAACTAGCCCTAGGGAAGATAACAGCCCCTGCCCTCGAGAACTTCCAGGCTACAAGGGAGAGCTTCTGGCCCAGCAAGGGAAAAGTCCCAGGAATCTGGGGCGGGCAGTTGTATTAAGGTTCTTGCCTCTCCCCAGTGGGACTGGAAACCTAGTGGGAAATGTCAGGTTGGAGGTACCTCAGGGACCACAAGTATACGAGTTCAGAAGAGGTCTGAATAGATGGGCCCGGAGCCCAGGGGAATAGCAGGGTGACAGAAACACATCCAGCCATGGAAGATTCAGGCACTGATTGGCCAGGAAGCGGGCCAAGAACAGAACCCTGGCGAATTCCAATGTCAAACACATTGCCTTGCATTTCTCTTCTATTTCCTTCCCTTTAAAGACACAATAACGGCACATCAGGATATTGTGTAAATACCTCTAGAAAAAGAACAGAAAGCTCAACTGATGAGAAAAATATCTTTGAATTATCTGATCCCATCCCTCTTCATAGGGACAGATGGGGGATTGGAAAATTCTTTTGTTGTTGTTGTTGTGTTTTTTTGTTTTGTTTTGTTTTTGTTTTTGTTTTTGACAAAGTCTCACTGTGTTGCCCAGGCTGGAGTGCAGTGGTGCGGTCTCAGCTCACTGCAACCTCCGCCTCCCGAGTTCAAGTGATTCTCCCGTCTCAGCCTCCCAAGTAGCTGGGATTACAGGAGTGCACCACCATGCCTAGCTAATTTTTTTGGCATTTTTAGTACAGATGGGGTTTCACTATGTTTGCCAGGCTGGTCTCGAAAGCCTGACCTTAGGTGATCCGCCCACCTTGGCCTCCCAAAGTGCTGGGATTACAGGCGCGAGCCACCATGCCTGGCCGGAATATTCTTACGATGGTGTTCCAGGGTAGCACTAGGAATGCGGATAGATGGCATGGCCATTGGCAACGTCCACCTACCAAAAAGCGGAGGGGCCTGCACAATCATAAAGGATCATTCATGTTGGCGTCATTTGTAGGAGCAGGACATTGAAAATGGCCCAAATAATCTATTGGTATGGTTCATCTGCTCTACAGCCATTGAAAGACTAGGGAAGTTCTTCGTGTATTGATTTGGGTTTTTTGTTGTTGTTGTTGTTGTTATTTTGTTTTGTTTTGAGATGGAGTCTCACTCTGTTGCCCAGGCTGGAGTGCAGTGGTGCGATCTCAGCTCACTGCAACCTCCGCCTCCCAGGTTCAAGCGATTCTCCTGCCTCAGCCTCCTGAGTAGCTGAGATTACAGGTGCCCACCGCCATGCCCAGTTAATTTTTGTATTTTTAGTAGGGATGGGGTTTCACCATGTTGGCCAGGCTGGTCTCGAACTCCTGACTTCAGGTGATCCACCCACCTCGACCTCCCAAAGTGCTGGGATTACAAGCGTGAGCCACTACACCCGGCCTCGTGTATTGATTTGTAACAGTCACACACGCACACACACACACACACACACACACTCCATACATAGCCTCTCACATATATAGTGAGCAAACAGCAGTGGTGTTCACAGCGTGCTACCAATTGTGTTGAAAAGGAGAGTGGGACGGTACATTTGCATTTTATGTCTACATTTGCTCACATGCATACACAATATCACTGGAAGTAGACAAAACAAAAAACAAAACAGAAAAACAAACACAACCCTGGTAACTTTGAGAAAGGGAATTAGGAGGCTCAAGGATGAGGTGGGAGCAGATTTTTCGCTGAATGCTTTTGTACCTTTTGAATATTGAACTATGTAGAAAAGTAACCTATTCAAAAAATAGACAAGCTTAATTATTTTCAAAGAGACAAGCAAAAATAATCCCTGAAGAGCCATAGGAAAATGCCCTTTAGGGAAGATTCTCACGGAGAATAGAGGTGTCATGAAATGTGCCTTGCTGTGTCTCGAGGTGCTCAGAAGTTAAACCATGTGAAACTTGGCCTGAGTTATCCGGCTAAGATGCTTCTTGCTGTGAAGTCTATGTGCTGTGAAGACGGACCTTTCTGGGGGAAGAAGGTGGGGGTGGATTCACAGCCAGGGGAAAAGATCAGAAGGAAAGAAAAGGTTTGGGAGACCCCAACATTGGTATAGAAGAAACTTCTAGTTATCATTTCAACCATATAGTCAGGTGCTATAGAGCAGGATCGAGAACTGTAAGATTTTTACCCTTTTATAGAACTTCCCATGTTTTCTCCCTTAAATCTTATCTTTTCTCTTGTAATAATGGACATGAAAGTCTCAAAATGAAGAGGGTCTGTGAGCTTGTGTTCCGGGACCACAAGAAATGGTGGCCGGAAGGAGACCATCTTCCTTGAGCCCATCTTGGAGGGAAGAGAAATGCCATAGTCTGGATGGGTGGTGACAGCTACCAAGAGGAGAGGAGAGCAGGGGAAGCCCTGGGACCTGCCATGGTGAAATGGGAGGGCTGTGAGGAGCCTGCCTGGACCTGTGAACTGCCCGGGGACTCAGGAGAAAGGGGTTCTGCAAATGCAGTGACAGATAAGCATTACTCGGTAATAGGATTAAATTTGAAACTCTTACAGGTGAGATGTGACTAGCCCATTCTTGTATCACAGAGAGCTAGGCTTTTTCTTCATTCAACAGGTATTATTTTATTTTATTTATTTATATTTTTTGAGATGGAGTTTCACTCTTGTTCCCCAGGCTGGAGTGCAATGGCGTGGTCTTGCTTACTGTGACCTCCACCTCCCAGGTTCAAAAGATTCTCCTGCCTCAGTCTCCTGAGTAGCTGGGATTACAGGCACCCACCACCATGCCCAGCTAATTTTTTTCATTTTTAGTAGAGACAGGGTTTCACCATGTTGGCCAGGCTGGTCTCAAACTCCTGATCTCAGGTGATCCGCCCGCCTTGGCCTCCCAAAGTGCTGGGATTACAGGTATGAGCTACTGCACCTGGCCATTCAACAGGTATTATTTTATCTTCATTGTTACTAAAAAAGCATAGAGGAACCTTCCTGTTTATTTTCTTACCTCATGCTGATCTTGAAACAACAATGAAAATGCTTCCACTACAGGGATCTTAATCAACACCAAACACTTCAAACGAGGGAAGATTATTTACTCCCATCTCTTCCCCCTTTTCCTTTCCGATGCTAACAACTTGCTACTTTAACCCCAGTTTTGCCCACTCTTTCCCAGAAAAAATCAACAAACATGTCTGCTCGTACTATAGGCAGACACCTGTCGATTCAATGAAGTGTAGGCTTCCAGCTTTGGCTGGGCACAGTGGGCCTGTAATCCCAGCACTTCGGGAGGCCAAAGCGGGAGGATTGCTTGAGTTCAGGAGTTCAGGACCAGCCTAGGCAACATAGGGAGACCCTCATCTCTAAAAAAAAAAAATGTAAAAAATTTAGCCAGGCATCGTGGTGCACATCTGTGGTCCCAGCTACTCGGGAGGCTGAGATGGGAGGATTGCTTGAGCCCAGGAGGTCAAGGCTGCAGTGAGCTGTGATTGTGCCGCTGGGAGACCGAGTGAGACCCTGTCTCAAAAATAAAATAAAATACAGTTTTCAGTTTTGCTTGCAGGGAGTTTGCAGTCTCACTGGGGGACAAAGAATTACACTTAGAAGTGAGTACTAATGCTTTAGAGCATATGTTCAACACGAAGCCAGAGAAGTCGGTAATAAAGGCTTCAGGAATCCACCTGCTGGAAACATCCTGTGGATGGAGACACGCAAGCTTCTTGCAGGAAGGCAGGCCTGGAAGGACAGGTTAGACTTACGGGAGGACTACAGAGAGCACTTCAGGCAGGTGTGGAGCTTCCTTGTGGAATGAGAGGGAGCCCGTTAGCTGAAGGGGAGGACCAGGGAGCTGTCATTGGTGGATGTCGTTGCTGAGTCAATGAAAGTCTAAAGTAGGATTTTCCCAGACTTACAGAAACCCTGTGTATTGCAAACATACCCGCCACAGTGTTAAAGAGATAACAAGGACTCTGATCAGACTCCTGTGACTTGGCAGCTTAGTATGGAGTAACGGGGGGGGCATTGTGCTCAGGGGAGGCTACGGTATCTGTGTTCAGCCCAATCCTCTTAGGTCTCTCCTTGCACAGTTGGAACCAAGATAAGGGCGAACTTTAAAGAGTGCCCCACTCTCTCTCCCTTCAAGCTCAACTCGGATTATTTCTTTCTTTTCCTCTCTCCATTCTCTTCGCTTTCCTGCTCACGGCCAGATGTCGAGGAGAAATCCCTTCCCACTGTGAGTTTTGGTTGTGATGTCAACCTGTGACATTTGCCTTTTTAGAGAGATCAAGCGCATGCATTGATTAATGGAGAGTGTAAATTATGGGAACAGGCTGGGCACGGTGGCTCACGCTGGTAATCTCAGCACTTTGGGAGGCAGAGGCGAGAGGATCAAAGAATTCAAGACCAGCCTGGACAACATAGGGAGGCCTCATCTCTAAAAAATATCTATTTTTTAAAATACTTAAAATTAAAATATGGGAATGATGCCAATAGTCTCATCTAAAAATCCCAAGTTTCTAGCTCCAGCTGTGATGCTTTTTAGCTGTGTGAACTTGGACTGTCACTCAAATTCCTCAGTTTCACTTATCTGCAAAATGAAACTTATTAATACTATCCTCTCTACTGCATGTGATCTTGAGGTTCAGATGAAATAATGTGAGAGCACTTTGGACGCTAAAGACCGTATTATTTGTAGCTCAGGGTGAAGACTGCATGGGGGCAGAGGGAAGTGAAGTTGGGAAATCTCAATAAATCCCAGTCAGCCCTATACTTTTATAAAATTGTTTTATGTCGTTAAAAATAAGTTTAACTAGATAGCTCCCTTGGTGTTTTAATAACTCTCGCTTTCATGATTCCTTTTTCCTTTCTAGATGTCCCTAAGTTCCAGCTCTCCCCTAAAAGTTCCAGCTCATCTCGCCTGGCCTCCTCCTGAGTCAGTGGGACTCCCAGCCACTGCCACCACAGCTGAAATTCTCATGCAGCATCTTCAGAGACACCCTGGGCCCCAGGCATGACTCATCCAGGTTCCAGAGCCAAAGCGGACTGAACAACATAGAAAGACTTTTATTATAGAAATGACAAGATGCTTTGCACAGTGGAGAGCTGAATTTACTTGGCTCCTATTAGAAACTCTTTCAGCTTAAGTACTTATTGTGGTAGTGAGTCCTACAGTATTTCAGTAAAAAGGAATTCATGGCATAAATGTGGACAGATTTACGGATGTAGAAACATGATGATAGATATCATGAGGTTAGTGATGGGACATATACCGGCACCATTGGTAGTACCAGGTGGGTGAGGCAGGTCCCAGAAGGATACAGGCTCATTCCCAAGGCTGCATGAGCAGTTGAATGGAGGGGCTGTTCACCGTGGTATCTTAGTTTGCTAGGGCTGCACCAGAGACCAAGAACCTTCAACAACAGGAATGTATTTCCTTGCAGTTATAGAAGCTAGACACCCAGGATCTGGCAGGGCTGGTTTCTCCTGAGGCCTCTCTCTGGGCTTGTAGATGCCATCTTCTCCCTGCATCCTCAAGTGGTCATCCCTCTGTATATGTCTGTGTCTAAATTTCTCCTCCTCCTCCTCCTCCTCCTTCTCTTCTTCCTTCTTCCTCCTCCTCCTTCTTCTTCTTCCTTCTTCTTCCTCCTCTTTCTCTTCTTCCTCCTCCTCCTCCTTCTTCTTCTTTCTTCTCCTTTCTTCTCCTCCTTCTCCTTCTTCTTCTTCCTCTTCCTCTTCTTTTTTTTTCCTTTTTGAGATGGAATTTCACTCTTGTTGCCCAGGCTGGAGTGCAATGGCACCTCAGCTCACTGCAACCTCTGCCTCCCAGGCTCAAGCAATTCTCCCACCTCAGCCTCTGGAGTAGCTGGGATTACAGGCACCCACCACCGTGCCCAGCTAATTTTTTGTATTTTTAGTAGAGATGGGGTTTCGCCATGTTGGCCAGGCTGGTCTCAAACTCCTGACCTCAGGTGATCCACCCACCGCAGCCTCCCAAAGTGCTGGGATTACAGGCGTGAGCCCCGGTGCCTGGCCTTAATTTCTTCTTAAAAGGACGCCAGTCCTATTGGGTTACCGCCCACCCTAACCACCTCATTTAACCCTAACCACTTCTTTAAACACTCTGTCTCCAAATACAGTCACATTCTGGGGTCCCGGGGGTTAAGATTTCAGCATAGAATTTGTGGGAGACATAGCGTAGCCCATAACATATGCTGTGGGCAGAGTTAAGAGAATGAAGAAGGAGCCGGGTGCAGTGGCTCACGCCTGTAATCCTAGCACTTTAGGAGGCTGAGGTGGGCGTATCGCTTGATCCCCTGAGTTCAAGACCAGCCTGGGCAACATGGTGAAACCCCATCTCTACCCAAAAAAAAGAAGAAAGAAAAGAAAAAAGTAGCTGGACATGGTGGTACACGCCTGTAGTCCCAGCTACTTGGGAAGCTGAGGCATGATGAGAATCGCTTGAGCCCGGAAGGCAGAGGTTGCAGTGAGCCAAGATGGCACCACTGCACTCCAGCCTGGGTGACAAAGTGAGACTCTGTCTCAAAATAAATAAATAAAAAGAGCATGAAGAAGGGCTGGTGAAGTGCCCAGGAACTGGCAACAGCAGAAAACTTTATCATCCCTTAGGCTGGAGAGGCAAAGGAGAGAGAGAAGGTGGAGTTGCTGGGATCAGTGAAGAGCTGTAGCCACGGAAGAGGGGCCGTCCACCAGGACATGTGTGGTGTGGCCGAGCGACACAGCCACATCAAAACTGAGGCCTGGGAGCTGGGTGCAGTGGCTCACACCTGTAATCCCAGCACTTTGGGGGGCCAAGGTGGGAGCACTAGAGCCTAGGAGTTTGAGACCAGCCTGGGCAACATTGTGAGACTCCATCTCTAGAAAACAAAACCAAACAACAACAAAGAAACCCCAAGGCCTAGCAGGGAGGGAAGACGGAGAAGACCCCCACCTCTCTCCCTTCCCAGCCTTCCTCACTTTCAATAGCACCTCCCTTTGATCAAACCCATCTGGGTTTGGACCTCCTGGGCCCAAGCCATCCTCCCACCTCAACCCCCTGAGTAGCTGGGACCACAGGCACATGCCACCTGGCTAATTGTTCTTTGGTTTTTTGTAGAATCAAGGTCTCCCTACGTTGCTTAGGCTGATCTTGAACTCCCGGCTCAAACTATCCTCCCATCTTGGCCTCATAAATTGTTGGGATTACAGGTGTGAGCCCCTGCACCCAGCTAACATCTGTTTTTCTATCATTCTGCTTTAACTAGATTAGAATCCTAGAGTCTGGGTGCAGTGGCTCACACTTGTAGTCCCAGCAATTTCGGAGGCTGAGGTGGGTGGATCACTTGAGGCCAGGAGTTTGAGACCAGCCTGGCCAACATGGGGAAACCCCATCTCTACTAAAAATAGAAAAATTGGCCGGATGTGGTGGCAGGCACCTGTAGTCCCAGCTACGCGTGAGGCTGAGGCAGGTGAATCGCTTGAACCCAGGAGGTGGAGGTTGCAGTGAGCCGAGATCGTGCCACTGCACTCCAGCGTGGGTGACAGAGTAAGACTCTGTCTCAAAACAAAACAAAAACACTCACACACACGTTTGCCAAGCTTGTAATGTTGAACACTTATGTCCTTGCGCTACATACTGTAAATATATATTTTGGCATGGTTTAAGATAGTGGCCTGGCAGTTCCCTGGATACATACTTGCTTCTTGCTTTATCCGTGTTGTTGGAAAAGACGTGAAATCACTCTTTTTTGTGCCTGCACAATTGGAGAATGTTAACTTTCTTGGTGGTTGCTTTTCTTTTTCCTTTTCTTTTCTTTCATTCTCCTTCCCCCAGCCACCCTCACCCCCATCACACACCCACCCCCACACACACACCCCGGCCTCCTCCTCCTCTTTTCATTTTTTTTCATCTGGGCTCTCCTACTTGTGTTGCTCAGTTGCTCAGGCTGGTCTCAAACTCCTGGCCTTGAAACTTCTCCTGTCATATCCACTGTCTGGTTATTGAAAGGGTCATCTCTTGTAAAATGAAAAAGATGAAAAAATAAAGAGACACACACACACACACACACACACACAAAAGATAGTGGCCTGGGCCGGGCGCGGTGGCTCATGCCTGTAATCTCAGCACTTTGGGAGGCCGAGGCGGGTGGATCACAAGGTCAGGAGATCGAGACCATCCTGGTTAACACGGTGAAACCCCGTGTCTACTAAAAATACAAAAAATTAGCTGGGCGTGCTGGCGGGCAGGCGCCTGTAGTCCCAGCTACTCGGGAAGCTGAGGCAAGAGAATGGCGTGAACCCGGGAGGCGGAGCTTGCAGTGAGCCGAGATCACGCCACTGCACTCCAGCCTGGGCGACAAGGCGAGACTCAGTCTCAAAAAAAAAAAAAAAAAAAAGATAGTGGCCTGGGCGGAAGGCCCCAGACACAGGGGTATTGATGCCCAAATGATAGGTGGGTTCAGTTGATTTGTTTGTCCTATCCAGGGTGAAGCGAATGTGTCTCCCTGAGTTGAGACCTTATGTTCCTCCCATGTGTTCCAAAAGAAGACGGCTGTCAGGAAGGGTTTCCTCCTGGGCTGCCCCCAGAAGCCAGGGACAGACAGATAAGCTGGGATGGCCTGTAGCTCCGTGCGTCTGACCCCCTTTGTCCCAGTGCATTCTTTGATTATATCACGAGCCTGTCACTTTGCAGGCAGATGTTTGAATGGGCCAGACCAGAGTCTGTTCACAGCCCCTTTCAGAATAAGCCAAGATCCCCTGGGGCAAGGACGTATCAGGAGAAAGAAAGGCCCCTCCAGTGCCAGAGGCTGCATGTTGTCTCTTTTATTTGAGATAGGATCTCTCTCTGTGGCCCAGGCTGAGTGCAGTGGCGCCATCACAGCTCACGGTAGCCTCGACCTCCCAGGCTCCAAGCAGTGCTCCCACCTCAGCCTCCTGAGTAGCTGGGATTACAGGCGTGTGCCACCACACCCAGCTAATTTGTTAATTTTTTGTAGATATGGGGTTTCCCTATGTTGCCCAGGCTGGTCTTGAACTCCTGGGCCCAAGCAATCTTTCCACCTTGGCCCCACAAAGTGCTGGGATTCCAGGCATGAGCCCCCGTGCCCAGCCTGCATGTTGTCTTAAGGAATATTCGGGTTATCTATTTCTGTGTAATAAACCACCCTGAATGCACTTGCTTGCAAGTCCGTCATTTTCCTCATGAATCTGTGGTTTGGGCTCTGTGGGGAGGTTGTCTCTCTCTCAGAGACAAGACCTCCGACCCACACAGCATCCTCCACATCCTCTCAACCGAGGGCTGCAGGATCCATGTCCGAAGGGATACAGGGACATGGCTGGAAAGTGGGTGTGTGCCACCCACTGAGAGCTCAGCCGGGACTGAGGGCGGGGCCTCTTTACCTTTCCATGTGGCCTGGGGTTTTCATGGCAGGGGGGCTGGGTTCTAAGGATGAGGGTCCCAAGAGAGAGCCAGATTGACCGGAATCACCTTTGAGGTCCCAGCCTTGAAAGTCTCCTAGTCTCTTCCACCATCCCTAGTTGGCCAGAGGGGCTTGTCCAATTTCAAGCAGAGAGGACGAAGACTTGGGAGAGCTGCAAGGTTCTAGGAGAACATGTGAGATGGGAAATAATCTTGTGATCATTTGGGGGTAGGCTCTGTGCCCCAGGATGGTTCCCTGGGCAACCCTTGCCATACATTGGACACAGACATGTGAGGTAGGCACATCTCCCATTGTGGTAGGAACCAGGTAATGGTTGGTAAACTGTGTTGATATTCATTCACTCAGCAAAACTTTTTTTTTTTTTTTTTTTGAGATGAAATCTCGCTCTTGTCCCCAGGCTGGAGTGTGATGGCATGATCTCGGCTCACTGCAACCTCCACCTCCCAGGTTGAAGCGATTCTCCTGCCTCGGCCCCTCCGAGTAGCTGGGATTACAGGCATGCGCCACCATGCCCGGCTAATTTTTGTATTTTTAGTAGAGATGGGGTTTCACGATGTTGGCCAGGCTGGTCTCGAACTCCTGACCTCAGGTGATCCACCCACCTCGGCCTCCCAAAGTGCCGGGATTACAGGCGTGAGCCACCGCACCCGGCCACATTCAGCAAAACTTTATGAATGCCCACTTTGCACCAGACTTCATGCAAGTCTCTGGGAATATAGATATGAGAAAGAAACTGTTCCTGCCTTCAACGCGGTGATCATAGCTGCGAAGGAGAC